GTCTCTGGAGTAGTTTTTTGGGGGGCATGAGAGGAGATACCTTTAAAAATGGAGATTCATGGCCTGCTTTTAGACAGAAAATGGGGGGACAGAGAGCTAATTGTCTTCACCTCAAAACAATCGTGATGCCAAACTGGCATGTTTTGGAGAGGCATATTCTGTTTGTCTTCATACCTTTAGTCTCCAGTTCCCCAGAAGTCAGAACTAATGCTATGTGGCTTAAGACTCCCACCATAAACCATAGCATTAGATTGTCCAGTGGCCAAATCTTCTAGGAGAACAGACATGCCTATGAGGCAGGACATTCTAGGCAGGGGGCCTAGAGGTGAACTTCCAATTGCTGAGGCAAAGGTTAGACCTTTATTTCAGTAACGTTCTTTACTGCATAGGTATAATGAGCACACCTCCCCTTACTTGTCACTCAAATTCAAAATTATAATACAAATAATGACCAAGCATATTTCATTTGATAATGTGCTGGAGTGAATTCGCACTGGTTCAAAAAATTAATTCTTACATTCTTAGGAATTTTGCAAGCCAGTTGTTAAACACAATTTTGTACAAAATTAAGTTACAGAAACCATTTCTACAAATTAGATTTAAATGAGTATAATAAATGCTCAAAACTCATCATGTTTTAATTATTTCACCGTTAATATACTCTTGGTCTTATTTATAGCTGCTGTATCCGTTTGGTGAAAATGTTGTAGAATAACGTGCTGCTGTATATCTCTTCCCGTCTCTGTGTTCAGTGAGGTCACATTGGTTGCATGAAATCAAACATGGTGAAAATATTTGCACCATGGAAATCAGCAAATGCTATGAGTCAGGATTTAAAATAAAATATTCTTTGAATTGGAGAAACATCTCTCTGCTCATTCAACTATGACTAGCGCAGTTAAGAGTATTTTATAGGCTATGACAACATTGGAATAAATGTCTGATACTTTATTTTGAAATATAAAGAACATCTAGAGCTCTTGATTCAGATGGAATAATTTTCTTAAAAAATTTAACTATTTGGCCTGGGTGCAGTGGCTCACGCTGGTAATCCCAGCACTTTGGGAGGCTGAGGCAGGTGGATCACCTGAGGTCAGGAGTTCAAGACCAACATGATGAAACTCCGTCTCTACTAAAACACAAAAATTAGCTGGGTGTGGTGGTGGGCACCTGTAATCCCAGCTACTTGGGAGGCTGAGGCAGAAGAATCACTAGAACCTGCGAGGTGGAGGTTGCTGTGAGCTGAGATTGCGCCATTGCACTCCAGCCAGGGCAACAGAGCGAGACTTCATCTCAAAAAAAAAAAAAAAAAAAAAAAAAAAAAAAATTAACTCTTCATTCAAATCTGTTTGGTATAAGTCTGACTTTAATTTAAGACGTAAATTTATACAATGGCATTTTAGTGCTTCCTCTGACATTTCCTATAAGTTGTAGAGGTTGTATAAAACACTAAAAGTAGCTTTTTGATTTATGTATAATTAAAATGTAAAATAAAATGTTATTAAAATTACATTCAGATGAAAACAGTGTTCTTTTCTATTATACACAATAATTTCTAAGACTATGGATATTAGCTTTGCATTGTTGCAGCAGTTTTCAAAGCCAGAGATTCCACTCTTCGAAGAATTCTGGTAAATCTTTGATATTGATGTGGTTCAGGACATGCTACTCCAAAATATGACACCTTGACATATTGAATATTTTAAGCCAAAGGAATTCAAGAAATGGCAGGTGCAGGAAGGACTTTCTGATCTTCCCATGAAGCAGGTCATAAGACACTCATGTGAGAGGTGCCCTTCCTATCTTCCAAGGAGATTGTCCTTATTTCCAAAGCTGCAGTGATTCCCAGATAAATATGAACAAACAGGCCTTGCTAAGGTTCCCCCACTTTACAACTCTTAGTTCATACCCATTTTTATCCTATCATACCTTTCCATGTTTCTTTATTCTTCAGCAAACATAGTTTGAAAACAATCAGGTTTAACTATTTCTTCAGGTCTTCAATTCCTTATGAAGTCTCCTGTGTCAGGTAAAACATATACCAAACGAATTTGTATGCATTTCTCTTGTTAATCTGTCTTTTGTTACAGAGATCAAGCCAGGAACCAAAAAAGGTAGGAAGAAAAAGATAGTTTTTCTCTCCTGCAATATGTTTTATTGCAATGTACATAGGTATACTTTAATCTTGTAGTAATATACTGACAAAGTTTATTGCCTGAGTGCCAGAAAATGCAAGGTCACAATTTTTGATACTCTTAAATTCTATTACTGTGCAGGTGACACAGAGAGAGGCTTTAGGGATGGAAGGAAAGACAGTCTCCATGGAGAGCCCCTTTCTCCTCCTGGGGCTGCAGCCACGCTACCACTGTTGCTTCTCTTGTCACCAGTGTGGGCCCAGGTCTGGGCACAGCCCACGGCTGCCCAACACCTGCCCTGTCAGGTGTTGGGCCAGCTTCTTAGAGCACGTGTTGCCTGTTGTATGTGCTCTAAGAAGGCCCATGGGGTGGGGGGTAATTTAAACTTTTTTGTTCTTCTTTCTACTTTTCTGTATTTTCTTCAAGAACAGTAATATTTAAAGAACTAGACAACAAAAATTTATGTTTTAACGTAAACTATATTATCATCTCTTTTGTAAATGATATTGTCACCTTTGCGATATTGCATTTGGCCATTTATGTAGGTTATATTTGAATAGAGGATATCATTAGGCTGAAAAAAAGCACAGGGGGCAGTGTTAAAATAAAAAAAATTATTCAACAGTACTTGTTAAAGCATGGTAGAATTCATTCGGGGCCATCATGATAGTTATAGGGACCACTGCAATGCGGCCCTTCAGTGGGGAGGAGAGATTGGACTCAACTTCAAATACAGCAAGATCCCCCTACCCTCGATATCTGATCGCTCTCTTGCCAAACTGACTTAGTAGTGTTCTTTGCTAAAACTGGATTTTACAAGGAAGTACACTGACAGTGCTAGGAAAAGATTCAGAAAACTAACTAAAGTTTGGTCAAGCAAAGAATTGTTGTCAGCAGTAATCTGAAATTGGTTTTATTACAATATCTTGCCCTTGATTTATTTTTAGTTGTGTCCTAATCTCTTTTGGAAATATGGTCCATCTTAATTTGCATGAGTGACTTAATCTATATGAGCCTCAGAGAGGTACTTCTACAATAATTTAAGTTTTATTATAAATGGCTTTGAGTGGACACAAGGTGTTTTAGGAGGTAGTATTGCTCTAATTATCAATCCTTTAAAAATAATCAGAAGCTAAATAACAAGAATTAAATCTAATTTCCTTTTGGACCCCTTTATTAGCCAAGATGGGTGTTTTCCACCTTTTAACAGAGAAGCAAATGGCTTGATGGGCTGGCATATCAATGTAAACCTCTCTCTGACATCAGTACTTCTATACTTTTCCTACAACACAGAGCAGTATTGAATCAGAAGGTGATGCGGCTGTGAATAAACTAATTTATTTATTATTATCTCTTTTTTTAGATAGAGTCTTGCACTGTCCCCAGGCAGGAGTGCCATGGTGTGATCTTGGCTCACTGCAACCTCCACCTCCCGGGTTCCAGCGATTCTCCTGCCTCAGTCTCCCAAGTAGCTGGGACTACAGGCGTGTGCCACCATGCCCAGGTTATTTTTGTATTTTTAGTAGAGACAGGGTTTCACCATGTTGGCCAGGGTGGTCTCGATCTCCTGACCTGATCTGCCCACCTCGACCTCCTAAAGTTCTGGGATTACAGGCGTGAGCCATTGTGCCAGGCCCGAAGGAACTAATTTTTAAAAATATTTACTGATTGTTTGTCCTTGAGAAGACTTGAAGCATTTCACTATTTTAAGTCAATCTCAAATTTGTCATCTGAGAGCTAAATAGAATAAAGATGCCACTGAACCTAGAGGAAAGATTATGTAACCAGGAATCCCACTTTGAGGCTTCCTTTATCTCTTCTTTTTATGATCTCTTTGGAGTCTCAGCCCTGAGTCCTGCACTACTCTCCATGGTCATGGAGCACTCTGATACTGTTTCCATCACGGAGCACTCTGATACTGTTTCCATCTAAAAAGAAAACAACTCCCAGAAGGGGATGGCCAGAGCTCTTTCTTGGACATGGATGACTTAAGGATGATTTGAGGAAGGAAAAAAGACTTTCTCTCTATAAAAAATCTTCTATTAGAGGCCATTCTTTTTTTTTTTTTTTTCTTTTTTGAGGCAGGATCTCACTCTGTAGCCCAGGCCAGTCTTGAACTCCTGGCCTCAAGCAACCCTCCTGCTTTGGCCTCCCAAAGTGCTTGGATTACAGATGCGAACCGTTGCACCTGGCCTAGAGTCACTCTTTTGGGTTAAGACGTTCTCTCTAGAAAGCCTTTGTTAATTATAAGTAAGGATTGATACATTGACCTATTACATCAACTATGATTCCAGCAAAGATAACCTCACTATCTCAATCAGCTGTTAACTTAGAAAGCTAGACTTTTATGGTGTTAAACACACACACACACACACACACACACACATACACACGCAGCTTTGGGTTTTCCAGTCCTATACTTAGCACATTGTAGCACAAAGAATCTCCTTAATATGTTTGTATTAAGTTAATAGGCAAGTGAAGAGGAAAGGCTGTAGTGTGTTTTATGGGGAGATAGGGTCAGGTGTGTCTAGATATTAAAGCCTGGATATTAAGGTTACCAAAGGTGAAAGATTTTGATGAAAGAATGAAAACATCCATGTCCAAGATTTCCAGTTTCATTTCTCAGTCACTAATTTGAAGTTACCAAATAAACAAAGTGAAAATGGGTGAAACGTACTTTGAGTTACAATAAGTTTATCTTAATTCATTGACTTTTCAACTGCTCAGATGTCTTAAAATTTTTTTTAAAGTAACTTGCTACAGTAAAGAGTCACACAAATACTCATAGCAGAGGAACAATTTCTGGATTTTATTTTTTCAGTCGGTGAGCTTTTTAAGGATTTGGGGAGGATGAGAATAAAAGGGTGACTTCTTATTTTCAGTTTTTCTATTTGGATGTGTCAAATTCCTGGTAATTTCTAACACAGCAATGGAAATTTACAAGGTGCCTGAAAAAACAAATAGAACTTTCAGACCTGGAGAAATTCTAGTAATCATCACTCTGGATACATTATTATAATTAGTATTTTTAAAAAGAAAACAATCTTTCAGAAAGATAGGAAGTTTAGGAACCAAAGCCAGAGGCCCTAATAGAAATCCCCCCTCCCATCCCCTCATCCCCACCTTCTTCGCTGCCCTTTACTGACTTAGCAGGAACAGTTCAAACACGCCCACAGCCCAGGAAATAATGAGACCCAAGTGATCCAGTTAGATAGAAAAAGTAGCTTGCTTTTTGCTTGGCATCTCCCAAATTATCGTGAGTTTAAGCAAACAATAAAATAAAAAATATTTCAGAAGCCAATTCGGCTCCCAGGCCCAAACCAAATTTCGAACCTGGTACTTTTCGTAAGTGCGGGCCGAGAAATGGGCGGTAAGTTAAAGAGCTGGTGGCGCCTCTGAACACACCCGGGCAGGGCGAGCAGGTCCTTGCCCAGGGAGACCCCTTCTCCTGGCTTTAGGGAAGGTGCTCCCTGTCCTCGCGGGTTCCTCCGTAGGAGGCTGGGTCTGCGGGACGCGGCGCCGGGCGGGTGAGAGAAAGCCCGGGCAGAAGAACACGCAGCCGGCGACTGGACGCGAGCACGGGGCGGGTGGAGAGCGTCTCCCCGGGCACCGCTGCTGTTGTCCCGGGTGCTGAAAAGCCGGGAACTTCCCGGGAAGCAGCGGCACTTTTCTCCCTGGAAGGTGGGTGTGGGGGTTCCAGGCTGCGCACCTGCTAAACCCGCCTAGTTGCCCCGGGAGGGGTCCGCCAGATGTGCCCCTCCCCAGCCCCGTTCGGGGGAGAAGGATGGGGGCGGGGGCGTGGGGGTGAGCACAGCCCGGCACCGCAAGTGGGACCCCGGGGTGCCCTTCTCCGCAACTCCCGGGCAGCCGCGCGCCGCGAACCCCGCTCCACCTGCACGCGAGGCGGGCCGGGGGCAGAGGGCGCCGGGCTGTGGGGGGAAACGGCCCGCGTCCCGGGATTGGGGGGTGGAGGAGAGAGCGAGCGGGCATGCGCAGTGGGGCGGAGGAGGTGGCGATGGCCGGGGGAGGCGGGGGGACTGCTGTTTATTTGCAGCTGGGCCAACTCGGCGGCGCAGGAGGCGGCGGAGCGCGGGGCGCTCGCGGCGGGTCCAGCTGCCGCAGCACCATGCCCGAGCTCCCCTCCGGGCAGCCGCCGCGCGCCGCCGGGGCCCCGGTAGGGGAGGATGCCAGACGCCCGGGAGAGGCCAGGGCAGCAGCGGCGGCGGCTGCGCGATGGTGCTGACCACCTCTGCCCGAGGCGGCGGCGGGGACCGCGCACCCTCCCGGCGGCAGGGCTGCGGGCTCGCGCCGGCCGGGGCCGCGGCGCTGCTGGCCGGGGCGAGCTGCCTGTGCTACGGCCGCTCCCTGCAGGGCGAGTTCGTGCACGACGACGTGTGGGCGATCGTGAACAACCCCGACGTGCGGCCAGGCGCCCCGCTCCGCTGGAGCATCTTCACCAACGACTTCTGGGGCAAGGGCATGGCCGAGAACACCAGCCACAAGTCCTACCGGCCGCTCTGCGTCCTCACCTTCAAGTGAGTCTCTCGCCTCGCGCTAGCCGCGACTGCCTCCTCTACCCTCCGCCCGTCCCTCGGTCCGGGAGAAGTTGCGGGACTGACTTGGGGGCATTTCATTTTTGCCGCCCTTTCCCTCCACACCTCCCTCCTCTCCAGGATGTGCATGGCACTGTGCTCCGGGATCCAGTGCCCGGCTTATCTGGGCTCTCGGGGCGGTTCGGGAGGCGCCGGCTGGGGAGTTGGGATCGAGTTTTTCAAGTGTCTGCGCTCTCAGCGGGCTTCTCTCTCCAGGCAGTGCTGGGAGCGGGCTGGTGGAACCGCCTCCGCACCCCATCGCCTGCCTGATCGTGACCAAGTGGGACTAGCGCGGACCTAGAGGGTTCCGGAGGGGTGGCGGTGGTGGCTATGCTTCCAAGTTGAGAATTTCTCGGAGGCTGTTGGGCAGCTTTGCAGATGAGAAGTGTATCAGCCTCTTAAGGGTTTCGTTCAGATGAGGCGAGGCGGGAGCCTTGAGCTGACAGGGCTGCGTGGGTTTAGGAGAGGGAGCTGAAGACTCTCCCAAGCCCCCAGCCCCCGCCTTGCACCCTTGGCTGCTCCCCGAGGCTCTCCAATCTGCCAGACCGCTCTGCATCTAGACTTTAGAAGGTGCAGAGAGAAGTAACGCAGAGCCTAGGCTTCTCCAGGGACCCTGGGGTCCCAGCCGAAATAGTTTTTCTTTTACAACCTCGGAGTCATGATTCAGCGTTTCTGGTGTGAATAAGTGTAAAGGGAACCGAGAATATGCCAGGTTTTTGTGGGGTGGAGTATTTTCTTTAATTTAAAAAGAAGCCTAGCTTCTGAGGAAAGAAGAGAAGCGCTCATTTGAGGGAAGTGCTATCTTACACAATGAGGAGCTTGACTCAACCCTTTATAATGTGGCTCAGCATTTAAGCTCATTTTAATGCGCCGGTCAAAACCGTTGAAATAATATTGGTGCGCTATTATCGGCGTTTTCAGCCTTTTTCCAACGGGTGTAACAGGAACCCGTGTTTATGGTAATGATTATTTGAGACTGGGCTGGCAGCTTGAAAAGCCTGCTCTGGCTGAGAGGCTTAGGCCTCTTGACAGGTGTCTCTGATGACTTAGAAAAGGAAACCATAGCAATCGGCAACAATTCATGGGTTTTTGACTTACGCCTTCCACTGAAAGTTTAATGTTTTTAAGGAGAGTGAGAAAATTACATATTTGACTTTGAAGAGAATATGTTATAGACATTTGTCCTCTTAGAAAGTTGTTCTGGTTTTCTGCTGAAAGATCACCTCGGCTAACCTCGTTATTTAGTTTCCCAGATGTTTCTTAAAATCTCCTGGGGACGAATATAAATGTTTCACTTCTAGATTGACCTGCTTTTTCATTTATTACCGTCAGGGTTGTTAGTTAATTTAAGGTGTGTAAATTCACAGCATGAGATGTGCTTGCTCTCTTTGTAACAGCCATGGAGATCATCCTGGTCACAGGTCTGAGTATTTTTCAATTAAAAAGGGCAGAGTCAAATGCCTGTACCTACTTGCTGGAGAGTAGGGAAGGGGGTTTTCACTTCTTGACTTTCTAGAAGGTTTTCTTCTTTTTTCTCTGTCTTTTCTCTTTTTTTCTTTTTTGAGATGGGATCTCACTCTGTCCTCCAGCCTGGAGTGCAGTGGCACGATTATTCCTCACTGGAGCCTGAAACTCCTGCGCATAAGCAATTCTCCTGCCTCAGTCTCCCAATTAGCTGGAACTACTGGCACATTCCGTGCACCCAGATATATTTTTAAATTTTTTCTGTAGATATGGGATCTTCCTGTGTTGTGTAGGCCGGTGTTGAACTCCTTGGCTAAGCGATCTTTAAGCCTCAGCCTCCCAATGTGCTGGGCTTGTAGGCATGAGCCACTGCACCTCACCTAACATGTTTTATTTTTCTTCATAATGGAGACAGCAGAAGGGAGGGGTGGAGGGAGTAGACAAAGAAGTAAGACCATTGATTAAGAGGAAGATTAGCTAGGGGTTGACAGAACAAGGGCAAAGGAGAGTTGGGGGGTTTAGGAGGAAGAGAGCTGAGGGACTCTTGCGGTAATCATTGATTGTAACAAGCAGCTTGGTATCTAAGAGGCATAGCTTGCTGTATATTATATGCCACTGCCTGTGAAAGATACACTTGTTTTTTGAGAAGATTGAGTTGCAAATCTAGAGGAGCAACACAGCACTAATTGGAAAGAGATAACTGCCTCTTCAGAAAGAGAATGTTAAGTAGTCTTTCTGTGCTCACATGCATTGATTTAAATAAGACTGGACAGCTTTCTTTATAGTCACCTAAGGTGAAACTGCATCTTCTAGTGCGATAGCATGAAGCTGGAGGACATCAATGACTTTAGACCCACACAACTCTACAGGATGGTACAAAGAAGGACAGAAAGCCACATTTATTAACTATTCACTATGAACCAAGCATTGGCCTAGATACTTCACATAGATTGTGTCTTTATGATTTTCATTTTAGATAGTTAGTGAAAACACAATTCAAAGGGCCCTTTAAATCTGTGCAAACAATTTTAACTGTATCTTAAATTATGCTTGAGCAAAAACTTTGAGATTTCAAACCCCTTAAAAAAATTTTTTTTAAATATAATTGTACATTCCCATGCAGTTTTGAGTAATAATATAGAAATTCCTTATACTCTATCCATTTCCCCCAATGGTAACATCCTGCATTATGATGGTATAATATTACAACCAGGAAATTGATATTGATTCAATCTACAGCATTTAGTCAGATTTCACCCATTTTATATGTACTTCTTTTTTTTTTTTTTATTTTACTAAGTGTGTATTTAGTTCTATACAGCTTTATCATATGTGTAGATTTCAGAGAGTACCACCACAGTCAAGATACAGAACAGTTCTATCCCAAGGATCCTTGGTACTTCTTTATTGCAGTCATGGACACCTAATCTTTAACAACTGCCTAATCTATAATCCCCTCACCCAAATCCATAACAACCATGAATCTCTTCTCCATTTTTATCATTTTGTCATTTTAATACTGTTGTATAAATGAAGTCACGTAGTATGTAACCTATTGAGATTGGCTTTTTTCACTCAGCATGTCTCTGGATCTTCAGGCTGTTGCATGTATCCATAGTTTGTTCCTTTTTATTACTGAGTTGTATTCCATTGTATAGATATACCACAGTTTGTATAACTGTTCACTTGTTGCGGACATCTGGATTGTTTCCAACTTTTGGCTAATACAAATAAAGCTGCTATACAAATCCACGTACCCATTTCCTCATTTCAAATTTTAGCTCATTTCTTATTTGAAAAATTATATAATTAGTATCTTTACTACCTAAGCAAGCACTTTTATCATTTATTAGTACACTAGCAAGCACCTTTATAGCAAAAAGTTTTATGCATCTATAAATTGCATTTATTCTTAAGGAAATTTCTAGCTCTCAGTATGTGTGACATACATTCAGTGAATCAAAAATCAACTTATGTTTTAATAAAAATATATAAACATAAATTTTTATTTCTCTGGGATAAATGCCCAGGAGTCCAATTGCTGGGTCATGTGATGGCTGCATGTTTATATGCTTTATGTGAAGTTGCCACACTGTTTTCCGGATGTTCCTACCAGCAGTGTCTGAGTAATCCAGTTTCTGTGCATCTCCGCCAGCGCTTTGTATTGTTGCTGTTTTTTACTGTAGCCATTCTGATAGACATGTAATGATATCACACCACTACGTGTACCTCATTAATTTACCATTCCCTAATGGGTGAAGTTATTAAACATCTGATATTAAACCAAAGAGTGTGGTAAATGTGCCTTTGTATCTTTTGTCTATTTGTAGGTTTTTTTTTTTTTTTAATGTTGAGTATTGAAGTTCTTTATATATTCTAGATACATGTACTTTGTCGAGTATGTGATTGCTAAATATTTTCTCCCACTCTGTAGCTTGTCTTTTTGTTCTCCTCACAGGACCTTTCCCAGTGCCGAACTCCAAACATATTTTTATTAAAACATAAGTTGATTTTTGATTCACTGAATGTATGTCACACATACTGAGAGCTAGAAATTTCCTTAAGAATAAATGCAATTTATGGATGCATAATACGTTTTGCTATAAAGGTGCTTGCTTGTGTACTAATAAATGATAAAAGTGCTTGCTCAGGTAGTAAAGATACTAATTATATATTTTTTCAAATAAGAAATGAGCTAAAATTTGAAATGAGGAAATGGGTTACAGACCATCTACTTTGACCAGTTTTGAGGGGATGGGACAGTGGAATATGAAAGCAGCTTACCAAGATATGGTGGCTTTGCACTATGTCACGTTCGCTAAGTTGAGACTAGGTTTCTTAGAATTGCCTTTGCAAGATGATCTGGGTTAGGACTGACCATAAGAAAAATTTCTGCAAGATTTGGAAGATGAAAGTGAAGTGGCTGAGATCACA